ACTATCAAAACAAGGCACTTGTGTTGAGAGTAATATTGTTGTTATTCTATCAGTTGTTTTTGCTATCATTATTAAGTTACTTGAGTTATTTGAAGGAGTCATAACAAACATGGTTAATGTACTCAATCGACCTCCAATGTTTCAAAGCAAGTATTCCGGCACCGGAAAACCAGGTTTTTCTGCTTTGTCTGTTCAGGATAAATTTCCTTTACATTCGTCAGAGGCCTTTAAAGAAGAGAAACCCCAGAATTTTGTTATTGTTAAAGAAAACAGTTTAGTTTTTGAGGAGGTTGATGTTAATGTTAATGACACAGTGGATTTTCAAGATGTTGTTGCTTCGGAGGTCATACCCAGTGACGTTAAACTTAATGAGATAACTGATAGTGGAGTGCCTTTATCTAATAGCAATTTGCCTAAAAGTGATAGTATAGTAAACAGTGCACAGGGGTCAGCGAGTTCGTGCGTTCCGAGTGTTTTAAACGATTTTCACAGCGAAGCGGGAGCAGAGATAGAATGTAACGCCGCTTTATATGCGAATTCTTGTACAAAGCCTATTTCAGCTTGCCTTGATAATGGAGTAGAAGAACCAGATAGTAATATTTCTCTTCCTTTTGTGGCTGGAAGCTCTACTCTACCTGTTAGTATAGAGGGTCATAATATTTATTGTTTAATTGATTCAGGGGCTGCTGTCACAGCAGTAAGTGCTAAAGTGTGGCGGAAGTATTTGTGTCACGCTTATCCTAGGCTAGATAGACCTGATTCGGAGAGTGTGACTACCGTCAATGGTTCCTGTTTTACTATTCTGGGAAAGTCACCAATGAAATTTGTTATTGATTCTCATGAGTTTCCTTTTGAAGCCCGCGTGATTGAAAATTTGTCTTATGATGTTATCCTTGGTAGAGATTTCCTTAAAGAATTTTGTTTTAAGGTTGATTTTGAAAATGGATCGGTGAATTTTCCTTCTGAACCAGATCCCCTTCCTTTTAAGGGTGTACACTTAAATGATGATAGTGGTTTGACGGATAAAGCTTTTATTTCTTCGGTCCATGCCTCTCGTACTTTTGTTATTCCACCTCAGTCAGAAATTTTAGTTTCAGGGGAACTCAATTCTTTACCAAGCGCCGTTGGTATTAATGGTATGATTATTCCGAAGTCCGATTTATGCCATCGCTATTCTGTTTTTGGAGCTTCTGAGCTTGTCAGTGTTGCAGATGACGGTATGATCCCCATAAGGTTGGTTAATCCTTCCTTCCAGCCAGTTAAAATTTACCTTAGAACTCGTTTAGCTGATTTTGAGGAGGTAGATCAGAATGTAGCATCCTTTAAGCTAAATGCGACAGAGAAAATTGAGGAGCCGTCCAATCATGAGCAGCTGGAAAAGCACGATTATTCTCAATTGCCTGATTTGTCTGATAGTATTTTGTCAACTGATGACAAAGTTGAGTTTCGGGATTTGTTTGTGAAATACCGTGACGTGTTTGCCCTGTCTGATTCTGAGTTAGGTAGAACGTCGTTAGTTCAACATGTGATCGATACGGGCGATGCCACCCCAATTAAACAAACGCCTTATCGCACTTGGCCTGAAGGTAAACAAGAGATTGATAGACAAGTCAACAATATGCTCGAACGTGGAATTGTTCAAGAGTCAGTTAGTGCTTGGTCTTCGCCTGTCGTTTTAGTTAAGAAAAAAGATTGTTCTATGAGATTTTGTGTTGATTATCGTAAGTTGAACAAGGTTACGAAGAAAGATAGTTTTCCCTTGCCTCTGATTGCTGATACTTTAGATTCTTTAAGTGGAACAAGCGTTTATAGCACCTTTGACATGAAAGCAGGTTATTGGCAAATAGAACTTGATCCTTCTGCTCGAGAAAAATCTGCTTTCGTTACTCATAATGGTCTTTACGAATTTTTAGTTATGCCTTTCGGTCTTACGAATTCTGGAGCAAGTTTTCAAAGGCTTATGGGCCATATCTTGAGAGGACTGAAGTATCGATTTGCACTTATATATATAGGTGATATAATTATATTTTCTAGGTCGGTTGAAGAGCACTTAGTACATTTAGAAGAAGTCTTTAGGAGGCTTCGTCAAGCTAATGTTAAGTTGAATCCGAAGAAATGTAGCCTTGTTAAACAAAAAGTAGAAATCTCGGCCATGTTGTAACTTCTGAAGGTTTAAGTCCCAACCCAGACAAGGTTCGTGTTGTGCAGGAATTTCCTACTCCAACTAATTTAAAGGAACTTAGAAATTTCTTAGGTCTCGCTAATTATTATAGGCGTTTTTTAAAGGGTTTTTCTCACATAGCCAATCCCCTAAATGCGTTGACTAAGAAGGGTGTTTCTTACAATTGGACTGAGGAATGTGCTGTCGCTTTCGACAAGCTGAAGCGTGCGTTAGTTTCCGCTCCTATTTTAGCCTATCCCAACTTTAAGGAGCCTTTTCTGTTGTTTGTTGATGCTAGTTCCATGGGAATCGGTTTTACCTTAGCTCAAGTTCAGAATGCAAAAGAAGTTGTAATTGCTTACAATGGGCGCGGTTTGAATCAAGCAGAGCGTAATTATAGTACAACTGAGAGGGAAGCACTTGCGTTAGTCGAAGGAATTAAGAAGTTTCAACCTTATCTTCAGAATCGCAAATTTACAGTTGTTACTGATCACAGTCCCTTGCGTTGGTTTATGAATGTTAAGGACGCTTCATGTCGCTTAGCAAGATGGGCTTTACTTTTGCAGCAGTATGATTTTGAGATTGTTCATCGCCCCGGTAAGATTCATGGCAATGCAGATGGTTTATCTAGGCGTCCTATGTGTCATGCGATTTCAATTCACTCCAAAAGGGGGATTCACAAGTGGCGAAAACTCGAGAGTTGCAAAGGCGTGATCTTGACCTGAGTGAGATAATTGATTACCTAGAAAGTGATGTTTTACCATCAGACGATCGCGCAGCGCGTAAAATTTTGCTCACGAGTGACAGTTTTTATATTGGGCGTGATGGATTACTTTATCATTTAGGTGACAATCGAAAGCGCAATTCTTGGGGTTCGTTTTCTCAGCTCGTTGTTCCACCAACGTTAAGGTTTGAAATTTTGTCTAACATGCATGACCATGTTTCTGGTGCGCATTTTGGGGTCCATAAGACGTTCAATAAGGTTAAGCAGAGGTATTGGTGGAAAGGAATTTACAAAGATATTGAACATTGGTGTAAGTCTTGTACTGAATGTTCCATGAGGAAATCGCCTAGAAATTCAAAGAAAGCACCTTAATTTACTGCCAATTCCAGTAGAAAATGCCTTTGATAGGGTAGCTGTTGATGTGCTGGGGCCTTTCCCACCTTCTAATAGAGACAACAGGAACGTTGTCGTTTTCAGTGATTACCTTACTAGATGGTGTGAAGCATTTCCCGTTCCAAGCGTTGAAGCAACTGTAATTTCTCGTCTTTTGGTGGATGAAGTCATAGCCAGACATGGTGCACCTAGAGTTTTGCTGTCTGATAGAGGGAAAAATTTTCTGTCTAAAGTGGTACCAGATGTTTGTAAGATCTTTCAAATTCACAAAGTAAATACTTCTAGTTAGTATATACACACTCAGTGATCTTGGTGATTTAAGCAATCTGATTGGTTCGCTATCTCGGACTATTCAACAATATTCACCTCCTAGCGAGTGGATAATGTGTGAGCTCGGTGTTTTTCCCGTTTTTTTTAGAGAACGATCTTTTAAAAGTCGACAAAATCCTAGGGCTGACTTTTTTTAAGGCAAGAAAAGACTTGGAAGGATTCAATACGGCGTTTTTCAATTTACTGTAGCAGGAGTTTTGTGCTCGATGGATTGTTTACAACTCCCGTGTATTCGCGTAGAAGAAGCCGTTTCGTGAACTCAGCGTTTTCTAAGAAGAAAATTTTGGCTCAAAAATCGAAGTTTATTTATGACAAACAAATTTAAAAGGAAATGTTTGCAGAAATTCTACATTTCAAGTAAACAGGAAAAAGAATGATACAGGAAGACGACCTCTTACCTCGAGCAACCGAGCCGCCATTTTTGTCAGCACTTCATGCGAAGAACGACACAACATGCCCTTTTGGCTATAAACTTGGCGAGTCAACAGAAAACAACACAGCTCTACTTTTTTTCTCAGGTAAGGAAACAGTTCAAACTTTTAGCGATTCCATTGAAGCCATTACGCTGTTGTTTGCGAAATGAGTAAACTTGTGAATTGCCATGTTTGAAAATTCTGCAAAGATCTATTTTTAAACTTACGCGTGATTTGATCTGTCAATCAAATCCTACTTTTGAATGGTTTCCTTTCTGATTTTGTTGAGATCACTTCGTGTGTATATACTAAAACAATTATTCTTCTCAATCTCGGTGAATAGTGGCTTTGGAAATATTTACCTCGCCGCTTTCGCGGCTCGGTAAATATTTTGCCACTATTCACCTCGATTTCAAAGAATAATTGTTAATTATCACCCGCAAACTGATAGCTTAGTCGAAAGGTTTAACTCTACCTTATGTCAGTCACTTTCGATGTATGCCTCAAAAAATCAAAAGGACTGGGACGATTTTAGACCACTAGTTTTGTGTGCTCATAGAACATCAGTTTTAGAAGCCATCGGTGATTCTCCTTTTTACGTTCTGTATGGCCGTGAGCCTCGTTTACCTGTGGATGTCAAGTATTTACCGCCAGTCGCTGATGACGTTACTACTTCAGTTTTTGAACATCGTAAGCGTATTGTTGAAAGGCTTGAGTTAGCGCAAAATTTGGCAAGAGAGCATTTGCAGCGTGCTCAGCAGAAAATGAAGGATTACTATGATCAGGGTGCTAAGGAACCAATTTTTGTGGTTGGTCAGCGTGTATGGGTTTACACTCCTCGGACTAAAAAGGGTTTGTCTAGGAAACTTTTACACAATTGGTTGGGACCATACAGAATAGTAGAGCAGTCTTCTCCAGTTTATTTTCGATTGCGTACTGACACTAATAAGAAAGTTACTTTTGCGGTGATGCTAATCGAATGAAGGCATTTATCGATCCGAGCTTACGACCAATTGAACCTCCACTATTTGATGACCCAAGTGAGCCTTATCTTGATGAGTCAGATATTCCAGATGACTGTTTTGAGTCAGAGCTTCCTGTCAATAAAAATATTGACTCTAGTCCACCAGCTTCACACTCTGCAAATTCAAGCACCCATTTAGATCGTCAGAACCGACCGGTGCAGTCGCAATCAAATCCTGATCATTCTGTGATAGATGACAAAAGTATTTTTCCAGCTGATCGGATTCTTAAGTCGCGTAGGAAAAAGGGCAAAATGGAGTACCTAGTTCAGTGGCATAATTTTCTAAGAAATCAGTCGACTTGGGAACCGGAACAAAACATTTTGGATAAACGCCTAATCGTTAATTTCAATAAATCAAGGAAGTAGTGAGTCCTTTTACGGTCGATTCATTTTTGTTTTGTTTTTCTTTAGGGATCAAGATTGTATTCGAAGAGTTTTCTTGTAGAGAGATTTCAGTAAATGGATTCCAGGCCCAGATCCCAACCGTTGCGTTGTCTTATACTTGTTTTTGTTTTTGTTCAGTTTTGCGTGATAAGTTCTCAAAATTTTGATTCTCTTACGCAGAGAGTAGCATTTTACCCTGCTCCATTGATGATTAGTCATTCTCCTAAGCCGCTTACTTTTTATGCCGAAACAAAGCTTTTTAATGTTCACACAGTTTTTAATTTTACTGACCTTAGCGGTATTTTCGCCATGAGTAACAAATCTTGTTCTGTACCTCTGGAAAAGTTCTTTGATCAATTATTACTTACAGTTCGCGGTTTTCAAAAAATTGTTCGTCGGCTTCTTTCTTTGCCAGGCTTTTCAACTTTGGCTGAGTGTGACACTTATTTACCGAGGTATTATCAGTTTATGGTAGGAAAAGTTTCGAGAATGTCGTGTCCAAGAGCCTATAAAAGCTTCGTTTCTGAGTGTAAAACTTGGGCGTTACGATTCTGCCGCGGCATGTCGGTTGACGAAAGACAGTGGTTGCTAGGGAGAGGCCGCATGCGACGTTCAAACTGGATGTGCCACGCAGGGGGTCTAAGTATTTTTCGCGCGATTTGGACCTGAACAGGCCATAAATGGGAGGAGAATCACGTTAAGAAGCTTAAGGCCACTTTAAGAACTCTGAGCAGCGCTATGTCTATTTCTCAAAGTATGATGCGTGTTATCAACGGAAAAGTTGTGTATTTGTTTAAAATTACCGATCAAATGAACAGTAAATTGGATATTTTGTCTCAGGATTTAAAGATACTTCAAAACACGTTTACTAGTTGGCAGAGACAACTCAAAAAATTTGCCAATTCGGTCAGATGCCACGAGGGATTGACGATGGAATTTCTTTCTAAATATACTGCGGAAATTAACCGTGCCTTTGTCGCCTTTCTTAGACTTTTTGAAATCCAGGATGCTTTAAGCCAGATTTCCCATCTGAACGAGAAACCGTTGGTAGGATATTCAGATTTACCTAAGTTTATTTCTTCGCACTTGTCTGCCAAACTTTCTATTGATCCTTCTTTGAGATTGACTATAACAGCATTAGAGGAAGGTTTGTCAGTCCTTGCAGGCCCTATGGTTGGCGTTGAACATGATGGTCAGAATTTGACTATTGATATTTTATTGTTAGCACCTGAGATCACGGATAAGAATAGTTTCTGCGTCGTAGAACATTTGACGCCTCTTAAGTTTAATATTTCGGGTAAGTGTTTTTCAGGGCCTGTTCAACACACAAACCTTGCTTTAATTAACTGTCCAAATTCGAGGCAGGTAGTGTCCTGAGAGGGATTAGATAGGTGTTTTAGTAGTGAAGTAGGTTACTTATGTCCCAAAAATGTCTTAAAGTCGGTTTCTAGCTTGCAATGGTTGGGTTTTGCTTGGAATCCGAACATGAAACTTTCTTTCCCGCGGAACCTCGAGCTTGCTCCAGACTGTGACCATATCCATCCGCTAATTCATCTTGGAGGCAGATATTTCCTCTCAACAACTTCTGGAACATTAACTTTAAGCAGCGGCGAGTTAGATGTTTCTCCATTGGCAGTTTATAACTTTCCCTGCAACGTCAGTTTCATCGGAATGAAAACGAGCTTAGGCACCTGTCCTCAAAGACTACTTGTATCACTTCTACTGTTCTCAGAACAATAATGAACAATAATAATGAACAATGTTACTAATTTTTGTTAAATATTAATAATTTACAATACTAAAAGTTTTTGATTTTTTTAACTACTCGATGACTAATAACATAACAAAACAAACATAATACAAGGTATAAAAATGGGTGGGGTTGGGTAAAGGCAGGAACCCATAGGAGCTATTTTCAGGACTGGTGTAATCTCTTGATAATATTTTGAGAAAATTTTTTTGGTCAGACCAAACAACACGCACACAAGTTAAGTTAATGCTTAAAAAAGCAAATCGGAAAATTAAGGAAGCCGGGATCAGTTCCGTATAAGAGTAGTCAATTGATCATTATTTATCTGAATAAGCAATACGATGCTTATATCTTTGAATTGATCCCAGTTAGTAGACACAAAAGAAAAGCAACGAGTTTGGGGCAAAAAACAATTTATTAAAAACTACATGCTATAAAATAAAACCCAGGGAGGGTGGGGAGGGTAAAACAAGCGAGGAGAGGTCGCAAATGACCTTTGAAACGACGCTGAACTCTATATAACCGAGAAGAAACCTGACGCATGAGAACATGCAAAGGGTGACAGGCCGCACATCTATACCTGCGTGAAACCTTGTGTAAACCTTTTATATTTTAGCTGTACTGAGCATGTCGTTTAGGGATTTTCCTTTCTTGTAGGAAATGATAGGTTGTACTTTAAAAATTTGGCGCGGAAGTAACGGTTGGTTTTGTATAAGATTCCATTTTTCATTAAACCTTCTTTTAAAGTAGACACTGAGGGCTGGTACTGTCACGAAAGGCAATATTTCTTTTTCCTCTAGATTTTTCCTTGAATCTTGTGCCTTTGTATACAACCGTGTCTAAAAACATAGTCTCAGTGTCAGATATTTCGGCCGTGAATTTGATAGTTGGGTGATGTAAGCTTGCTTTTTCGATGAAGGATGTCTGGTTTACTTATGTCCCACAGGGAAAAGATATCGTCAATGTAGCGTTTCCAAACTGTAGGTTTAAAAACGGTTCTGCTTAGAATTGTTGTTTCAATATGAGCCATGAAAATATTGGCAAAAGAAACTGCTGTCTTTGTGTCCATTGCAGTACCATGGGTTTGTAGCTGGTGTTTTCCATTGAACTGGAAAGAATTCTCTTTGATAAAGAAGTCTAGGCATTTCCCGCAGGTAATGTATAGGAATAGGATGGTTGTCTTTGTAGAAGTCTTCATATGCTTTTCTTACAATTTCAATGCCCTCTTTCTGTGGTATATTTGTGTAAAGACTTGTGACGTCCATCGAAACAAGAAATGTTGTTTTTTTCACCTTTGTGTTTTCAATAAAATTTCTAAAGTCGGTGGTATCTTTAAGTTATGATTTCTGTATTTTTGATATTGGTTGCAATAATGTATCAACAAAAGAGGAAATTCTTTCTGTTGGACTATCGCAGCCGGGGATAATTGGTTTTCCTTGAATGGTTGGCTTGTGAATTTTCGTTAGAGTGTAGAACTCTGGTATTCTAGGTGGACTAGGTGTTTGAGATAACCTTTTTCATGTCACGTCATCAATATGATTTTCACGGTGAAGATCCGTAATTAGGCGCAAGACCTTGCTGTGCGTTTCTTTCACCATGGGTTCAGGGAGAGGTCTGTAGTTATGTTTGTCGTCGATTTGTATTTGACCCTCTCTTATTTTGTCTGTTTTTTTCATGACTACTTTAATGCTTCCCTTGTCCGCTTTTTTAAGGTTGATGTCTGTGTTTTGCTTTAATTCTGTTAATGCTTCATGTTCCTTGCGTGACAAGTAATTTTTTGGCTTTGTTATTTTTATCTCTGCGAGTTGTGATTTAACTTCTTCCAGATACCTCTCGAGGGCTACTGATGGTTGAACCGGTGGGCTCCAGTCAGATTTAACGTAGAAAAGGGTGAACTTCCCTATTTTTTCCGTGGAACATATATTTAAGGTGCATTTTCCGATTTCCCTTTTTAGCATTAAGTTAACTTGTGTGCGTGTTGGTTATTAATTTATTATCAATTCGAGAGAGAGTAAGAGAGTAAGTTACCTAATTCAAGTTGTTAATAAATTAATAACCAACGATGAAACGTGAGACGATAATAACAAAGGGCGCGTGACCACATAAAGCATTTTGAAATCAACAACGATTATATACACTGGGTTCAAGAGGATATTTTTTTTCTTATCGATAGTGATGGTTCGACGCGAATCGAAGCCGCGTCAACGAGGCGCGAGCCATATCAAACCGTAAGAACGGTTTATTTCATATTAGGTATTTTGAGAACGGACCCTGGAGCCAGGGTACAACGGTTAAAGCGTCGACTTGAACATAGTTTTCGCATCGTGAAACAACTTCCATTTCACTTCGCACCACAGTAGATTCAAGAACAAAACAAAACAGGAAAGATTTTGGGCGCTTTCCATTCAACCCAAAATTCCGGTAATTTCCGTTGGTACATCAAATGGAACGGACCATTTCCGTTTGGTCCGACCGGAATATTCGGGACCAGCTTTGAAGGTGGTCCACTGTGACCGCTCTGGTCATTTCGGTCGGTCGGACCGAAATGTCCCTTTCCATTTGCCAAAATTGTTGTCCCCAGTACCGCTCTTTTCTATCCTGCTTACAAGAACAAGTAGTTTCCTATGGAAAGTGAAGTGCTGTGAGTAAAGCATGACATCTCAAATAGTTTGAATCAATTGCAATTTTTTTCGATTTTTGATATTTGCCATTAACGGTGTCAAATAACTGACGCAACACGACACGTAGGTGAAAAAAAGTGTGTGAAATCAAGCGACAATTGTATAAAAGTCCGTGAGAATCAGCGTTGTCTGAAACCTGTCGACGATATTTAACTAAAGCAATTTATCAATTAAGCTGAAATGAATACAACAAAGCCTGGCTGAATACAAATTGGCTAAAACACCGAATTTATTTACCGTACAGTTCCAGGAATTGCTTCGAATCGTTCGAATATTTTGAGAAACGTATCGCTTCAATTCACAAGAATTTTTTACCTTCACTTGCATTCATAGACTTTCTACACGAAATAGGATTCCTCCGCCTTTAGTTTTCCACCGCCCCTTTTCGACAGTCGAGTGTTCTTTAGGATATAAACAGTATTTACTTTTCTCTTTTAGAGCGTAATTATGAGTGTGCTGAGAAGCCACAATAACAAAACGCGCGGTGGCTTGGATCGGGTCTGTGCAACCGGAATGTACCGTTCCACTGAGCACGTGAAGATTCCGAAATT